TGGCACCCCAGATGGTCGCCTGCCCCTAGATCCAGCCCTGGGGAGGAGGCAGGGAGAACACAGCTCTCCCTTTTCTGTTAAAAGCCAAGAGCTCCCCCTCCTTTCTTTTTGGTCAGTGAGAGATCGCTCCTCCCCTTTCAATTTACTTTAACCACTGATTTAAAACTGAAAACGTTAAATATCTGATTGACTTCTCACCATTTATGCTATCTATTAGCTTGGATAGACAGCTTTTTGGCTCTGATGTACAAGCACAATGCTCTTTGAGTTTCCATCCATTGACTGAAAGGTTAAACTTTAAGAAACCTGTTTTGCACTTATTAATTTGCTAAAAATCCTGAAATATTAAATTAATTGGAGGATTTCCAAAACTTTAGACAAAATCTTAAAATTGTGACCAAAATTACTTGATTGAGTCAGTTAACATTTGAGACTTACCCTCCTACACCAGATGTTAATTCATGACAGCAGTCAATGGAGGAAAGCATATACCAGCAGTCAGAGTGGCAAGGGGATTGAACAAGCTATGTAAAACCTTCATGGCAAAGTCATGTTTCCAATTCCATGGAAACCTGTTCATCCCAACATAATAGGGAGCTAAGTGATGGGGGAATATAAAGCTGTTGACCATGGGCATGTCTGCATTCCTTTCTCACTCCATTAGAGGACCTGCTACCACCAAAATTTTCATGACACCATTTGAAAAACTGGTAGTTTCCCCAGTACATGCTGTATTAATTGTTCTTGGGGACAGCCAGTTTTATAAGGCAAATAAACAAACAAAACACCCTACTAGGATCCCTACCAGATTCCATCTGTGCTGTTCAACCAAAACTATTATGAGACATTGTGTATCAGCAAAAATAGGATCTGCAGGAAATGCTTTATCATAATATACATACCATAATCATTTCACAACACCATGCCACTGGAATCTACCTTTCCCGCTCTGAAAGGCATGAGTTCAGGGCTCATGTGTGGTCAAACAGAATTCTGAGTGAGGCAGAATTCTATGCTCACATCAGGAATACTAAGGAGATAGGAATGAACGTTTTCCTATATATAACTATGATGACACCCCTTACTTAAACTTTCTAGAAGCCTACTTGAGTTACCCCCTAAAGCCAGCCTTGCTTTGGTTGGCTGCCCCTGGGTGTGAAAAAAGAGATGCTTCTTGTTTTCTTTAGTAAAGGAGGAAAACAATGCAGTGCACTCTCTTCATAATAGCCAAGCATTTTTATTCCTATGCATGCTGGGAATTGACAACAGAATTAAATAGAGCTGAAGCTCTGTATTATTGAGATTCCTTGTGTGATGAACTTTGTATATACTTTCTTGCTTTGGACTCTAGTCACAAGTGGCTGAATAGGGTGACCAGACAGCAAGTGTGAAAAATCGGGACAGGGGATGGGGGGTAATAGGAGTCTATATAAGAAAAAGACCCAAAAATCAGGACTGTCCCTATAAAATCGGGACATCTGGTCACCCTATGGCTGAAAGAAGCAAATGAGACTCCTTTTCAAGGAGTAGGCACCAGCTAAGGATAATTAATCCTTTACTGCTTCTGCTTCATTTAGTCTGGACTCTTGATTTGTCCCACAGACCAGAACATCTCCCATTCCTAACCTTTGCCATGAAATCTCACACTGGACCTTGTCAGCTATGGGTGAATAGCTTTTATTATTCCCCATCTTGTTAGCATTCAGTGCTGTTGTAGCACTTTCTGTATCTCTCTTCTCCTCTCTATTGCTAGGTGACCTTTTAAATAAAGAGACCACACAGGCCAAGGATTCAGCAGTTTGTAGATTTCAATACTTTCTGCTCCCTCTGCCCCTGCAGACGGGGTTCTTGGTGGGTAGATAGGAGCTTTAGGTTGGGCATCTCACCTGCTCCAGCTATGTGATCTGGGAGATGGACTCATTGCAAGTGTGGGGATTTCAGACCCATATCACTTTTCCATTTGTAGGCCTCCAAGCACTTTACAAAGGTGGGTAAGTATTAATTTCCCATTTACAAATGAGAAAACTAAGGCCCCAGGTCACAGAGCAAGTCCACGACAAAGCCAGGGATAGAAGCCAGATCCCATGATTCCCAGAGAGGAGAGGACACTGAGAGAGCTAGGGAGATATGAACATTTTCACCCTCGTGTTAGGATTTATCCACACTTTTAACAAGAGTAGTGGTGGCATTAATTAGAACTCAGAAACTATTTCCCTGATTCCTTGAGCCTGCAAAATAAATCCCCATCAATACATATTGAAATCAAAAGCTGCATGTGCACAGAGGTGAAAGTAAGCCGGTACATCCCGGTACGGTGTACCGGCAAGAGCCAGTGCGCTGTACCGGGGCGGATTGGCTTCCCCTGGCGGAAATTTAAAGGGCCTGGGGCTCTAAAGGCCCTGCCTCTTCCGGTAGAGGCCCCACCCCCTCATAAGGACTCCGGAGTACTGGTAAGTCCTTTAAGTTACTTTCACCCCTGCATGTGCAGCATTATTTGTACAGGTAAGTGGCTTAACTCCATGCAGAAAGTAGACCAGACATGTCACCTAAGCATTGACCTGTGCACTATGGGACAGTAGTGGCAGGGCCGGCTCCAGGGTATTGGCCGCCCCAAGCAGCCAAAAAAAAAAGCCGCGATCGCGATCTGCCGTGGAAGGTCCTTCGCTCCGAGCCGGAGTGAGGGACTGTCCGCCGAATAGCTGGACGTGCCGCCCCTCTCCGGAGTGGCCGCCCCAAGCACCTGCTTCACAAGCTGGTGCCTGGAGCCGGCACTGAGTAGTGGGAAGACTATTTGTGCTCTTGGGGTTATTACACTAATAATTCCTGTCTTCAGTGGCACTGTATTGATGGAGATTGGCAGAGTGGAGAACCACATGATGGTTGGCCTGGCTTGAAGGAAGTCTACTACAGATATTTATAACACTTGCACAATGTTGGGAACATTTCTGTCTGTGAACATGAAGCATGTTACCAGATACTGCAGCATTATGCTAGTGCATCAAACCAGAAAGTCACCTGACTAGTCGGTTTTCATTGTCCAAGCAGAAGGAGGAATCAACAAGCAGCAAAGGTGGGAAAGGTTATATTTAAAAATATCCTTCAGTTTTAACCATACAGTTATTAGTAACACTAGTAAGATATTTGCTTTTAAAAAGTGTAATTTTGGAACTTGTCAGTTTCCCTTTATAAACCATTCAAAACAAGGGAGTATCTCTCCCAACTGAATGAGACTTGGCAAGTCTGGTACATTATAAATATTTTGTGTGTGCGCACATGTTCTACACACACAATAACCATAGTCTGCAAAATCACTTTTGTAACAGCTATTTTCATAATAGCCCCTGTGGTAACATGCCGTTCCAGTGTAACATATCTACGAGCTTTCAACGATGAAGTGTGTGAATGAATCCTCTCTTTTGAGTTCTGTACTTTAAGAGACATCCCCTAATTTGGTGCCTAATGTCTCATGGCCTGGAGTTGCTAAAAAGCATTTGATTAAGAAAAAAATTATGTTTTGAAAGAGTAACCATAAGCAAGTTTACACATTGTAAGGCAAATGCATGATTTTGGGCCACTTACACAACATTGTGGGAGTGGTACCCTTTAAAAATTGTCTTTAAATGTAGGTTCCCCCCCACCCCAGACTCCTCCTCTGAGTTTCTATGGGTTAATGACTACCCCATGGACACCCAATTAAGAGTTATTAAATAGGCAGCAGGTAAGTATTAAATAGGCAATATAAGGAAGTATTTCTTCACATAACACACAATCAACCTGTGTAACTCATTGCCAGGAGATGGTGTGAAGGACAAAAGTGAGTTAAAAAAAGAAATAGGTAAATTCATGGAGGGCAGGTCCATCAATGGCTCTTAGCCAAGGCGGTCAATGATGCCAACTTAGCTCCAGTATCCTAAAGCCTCTCTCTGACAGTCAGAAGCTGGGATTGGACATCAGGGGATGGGTCAGTCAATAAATTGCCCTGTTCTCTTCATGCCCTCTGAAGCATCTGGCACTGGCCACTGTCAGAAGACAGGATGCTGGGCTAGATGGCCCATTGGTCTGATCCAGCATAGCCATTCTTATGGTTTTAAGTGTTGCTCCTAGACCAGTGGTTCTCAAACTTTTGTACTGGTGACTCCTTTCACAGAGCAAGCCTCTGAGTGCGACCCCCCTCGTATACATTAAAAACACTTTTTAATATATTTAACACCCTTATAAATGCTGGCGGCAAAGCGGGGTTTGGGGTGGAGGCTGATGCTGCAACCCCCCATGTAATAACCTCACGACCCCCTGAGGGGTCCCAGACCCCAGTTTGAGAACCCCTGCCCTAGCCCCAAGAGATTCATACAGGGAGCTGGGAGGGAGGCCGGCTGGCTGGTGGGGTTGGCTGGGATTTGTAGTCCTTGTGGGCGGTTCAGTTTGCTGTTGGGCGTGGGAGAGACGCACCAATCGGACTACAAATCCCATTGCGCCAGGCCCTCTGGGGGCGGGGCTGGGTTGGTGACAGCTTGCCACTGGCCGCCGTCTTCCCTGCTGTTGTGAGTGCTGGGGCCGGCGAACGCGAGCGCCCGAAGCGAGCTAGCGCGCGCGGCTGCTCGCGCTCCCGGGGCTGGGGCTTGCATTTGCCAAGGGACCCAGCCGCCACGCTTTCGCTTAAAGGCACAGGCGGAGGGGCAGCTTGCTGTGTGCTAGGTTGGGTCAGTAGCGTGTTATGGGACAACCCCTCGCACATTTTTTAAACGCCATATTGCAGGAGTTTCCCCCGTCCCCTCCCCAGTCCCCCTAAGAATTAGTGAGTTGAGTTTCCCTCCCGCGGAAGGTGGCTCTTTGGAAGCGCCGTGGGTGCAATCAGGGTGGGCGGGCAGGAGGATCCCCCGTCCCCCTTGCAAGCAGTACCGACATCGGCGGGGGTCCCCAAGGAGCCCCAGGGACTCAGTGACTCGGCGCGTTGGAGGCTAATCCCGCAGGCAGCTGGGGAGAATTGCCCACGTGCAAAGCGCCCCCCGCGCCCCCCGCACGATTTGCGAGCGTCTCCGCTGTAACTTGGGGGTTGCTGGGTGGAGATGTCGGGCCTGGCGCTGGCGGGGTTCGGCGGTCTCTGATCGGGAAGGGGTGCGGGGGGGGGGACCTGCTCCTTCCCAGGCCACCGCTGCTCTGTAACTTTGCCGGGGTCGCTGTCGCTCCGTAGGGATCAGCGGGGAGCTCTGAGTGCGTGAGCGGCTGCGATGGCTTCCAAACTCCTGCGAGCCGTCGTGCTGGGTCCCCCCGGCTCTGGCAAAGGGACCGTGTGCCAGAGAATTGCCGAGAGCTTCGGGCTCCAGCACCTTTCCAGCGGGCACTTCTTACGGGAGAACATCAGGGCAAAGAGCGGTAAGTGAACGCCCAGCTGTTGAGGATCTGCTCACCCAGGGGCGCCTACGTGTTTCCTTGCATGCAGGAGGCGCCGTATGTTGCAGACCATCTGGGCTAGCGAACCGCAAGGCGGAATGGCTTGGTGATCAATCGGGGCAGATGATCCTAAACGCTGTTTGTCCCGAGAGGGGAATTGTGCCATGAAATTGGGCCCTTTGCAAAATGATCTCGCCGCTGGCTAGCAACCGTCGCTCGAGAAGCCAGTCGACACAGGCTCGTGTGTGTGTTGCTCAGTGCATTGCATAACCCACTTGTACCATGTAATCTGGAGTGAAGAGAAACAGCACCTAACAACAAATTCTTTACGTTTGTTAGGTTGTAATGCAGTCTTTGTCCACTAATATGGTGCGTGATGGGGCTGACCAATCTTTAATCTAGTTAGGACGCCAACCTCTATAACATTATGTATCTCGTTTAAAAAAAAAAACCTACAAAAACAATAGAGTTCTTGGTTAATGAAAACTGCAACAAATTATCCATAACAGGAGGCAATTGTGCCTCCTTGCACAATTTGCAATACACAGGCGTTAAGTTCACTCACTGTTTTTTCCTGCCGTAGTAAGTACAGCTGTGCAGTTTAAAGGTATGTTTTTCTTATCAGTGTTACTAATATCAGTGAATACAATTAAAACTTTTAAAATGTACTATTCATCATGTATGCTGCCTGTTTTTTTTTTCATGGTGTGAAAAATTGTAACTTCCTGGTTTTCATGTTTAAATCCATTAACACCATTAACTTTTTTTAAAATAGTTTTCTCTGAAAAGTTAACAGTGATTCTTGCATACATAGTAATTGAGGTTCAGAAGAAGCCAGTATAAATAATTACTGTGTGCCCATTCATCCACTATTAGCTGTGGTTTTGGGGAAATATTGCACACTAGCTTTATCTGAGTACAAATATTATGTATCCTCAATTCATAATTCATTGTGAAAAATAGCTCCCTACTCATGTAGTGTTACAAATATCTCAGCTGGGTTGTCTGCTTAGTTTTAAATCCTAAAGCTTAAATCTCATCATCCCCTCTACAGGCACATATGGCTTGAAAGGCAGTGGAACCAGTGCAGTTCTGCTGCATGGGGGCAGGTTATGGCACATCTGTGCAGTGAAGTGTACTGTACTGTGGAGCTGTGCTGTAGAGTGGGCTCCATCTGTGGCAGCAGAGACTTCTCTCTGGTTCTTTTTTCAGGGTGGAGGATGGTGCTGGGGTCTGACCAGTAGCTGTGACCACATGAACCTGTCAGCTTATCTCCTATGTAGTGGAGTGAGTTAGTTCATACTAACAGAAAAGTCTGCAGTGAAACATGGGCTGCAGGGCAACTAGAGGCATGGGAAAAGATCTTGACAGTTCCATGCCCCTCATAGTTCTCCCAGCTCTAGGCAGGGGAAATAATTTGGGCTTCTTAGAGCTAGGCATTATGAAACTGGCTCAAACTTGGTTGCTTCTGGAAGTATTTTTATTTTTTCTAAAATAAAAACTTGTGCCATTTCTTCCTCTAACATATAAATGGTAAACTGGCATTGTAACTTATAAAAGAAAATATTCACTTTAGGAATTAAGCCTTTTATATGCTGTTTCATCTCAGAGCCAGTGTTTATGGTCAAGTTGTGAACTCTTCAGAAACAGGCTTCATAATGAAAAGACTAACAGAGCCAGGGGTTGAATTTCAGTGGTCTCTGTTTGGGGGAGTTCATCTCCCCCTCACTAACAGAGCAGTGGAGTATGCTCAGTGTACGCAAGCTAGGGGCTACTTATCACCCCTGTATAGAACTTTCAGTGAAGATCCCAGAATCTATTTCCTTTGTGCATCAATATTAGCTATTCACTTTCAGGTGTGAAGGTGGGTAATTATGTAAATACCACTTGAATTAGCAGTCGCACTCTCTTATTCCTCTATCTCTTCCTTCTTTCTCTTGCCTCGCTTCTCTAGGGCTAGATCTACACTCAGGGCCGGCTCTGGCTTTTTGGCCGCCCCAAGCCAAAAAAAAACCCGGGGGGCCCCCGGGGCGCCGGGGGCGGGGGGACCGCCGGGGGGGGGGGGGGGCGGGCGGGAGAGAGAGAGAAGGGGGCGGCCAGGGCTACAGCAGGGGCGCTGCCACGCGGCCCCTCCCGCTGCGCCGCCGCCTGCTGCCAGGGCTCCGCTCCGGTCGGCGGGGAGGGAAGGAAGAGGACTGTCCTGCAGGGCGCTCTGGTTCTCCGCGCCGCCGCCCCCTACAGGGCGGCTGGAGTGGAACAAGAACAAAACAAAAAAAAGGGGCCATGCGGCCCTAGGATTGGGCAGAATGCCGCCTCCAACAATCTGCCGCCCCAAGCACCAGCTTGCTCAGCTGGTGCCTGGAGCCAGCCCTGTCTACACTAGAAGAGGTTTTCTGGTACCTGTGCAGGCAAACCCTCCTAGCATTAACACTGCTTATACTGGCAAAAATGCTTTTGCCGGTATAGCTTAATTGTACCGGTTTCCTGAGCATAATTAGCTATACTGGCACAAGCATCTTTATGCAGCTATAATTGCATCTGCACTAGGGCTTTGGTGGTGCAGAAAACACTGCAGACCTAACCAACGTTGATATACTAGCAAAAGTTTCTACTGTAAGCCTTGCCTAGATCTCAGTATTTTTCCTCTTACGGTAGACTGTTCACGTCCCTTTTCCACTTCCTCTTATTTTTGCCTATCTTTCCCTCTACCACCTTATTCTTCCCCCCCCTTCCCATTTTGAGTTTCTGTTCCTTCTTCAATCCAGTCTCCTTTCCTTCTTCCGTTGTCACACTCCTTCCCTTTCAATGTGAGTTTCTTCTCCTCCCTCAAGAGGTTCACACTGGAGCTCCTGCACAACAGCACAGATCTTGTGGTGCCCAGGAACCGTTTGGAATGGATAAGTGGGCAGCAGATCTTGTTGGGTTTCAATCTGGAACTGCTGGCCTCACTGGAGATGTAATTCTGTGCAGGAGCAGAGGTGTGAGTTTCCCCTGAAGTATTCTTACTGAGGTAACTAAAAATTAGAGGGACAGGAAGATGTGGGATGCCTGCAGTTTCCATGTCCAGTTTACATTCCTGAGAGCTTTGACTTCATTGGCATTAAAAGAGGTCTTGTGCTAGTTGTAATTTAAATGGATACAGCCAACTTCGGCATCTTATATGCTAAGACTGCTGCCTGTTACACTAAGGGCATGGCTACACTTGCAGATGTAGAGCGCTGTGAGTTAAACCAGCCCTTGGAGAGCGTAGTATGGAAATTGCTGCAGTGTGTCCACACTGACAGCTGCAAGTGCACTGGCGTGGCCACATTTGCGGCACTTGCAGCGGCATTGGGAGCGGTGCATTATGGGCAGCTATCCCACAGAGCACCTCTTCCCATTCTGGCGCTGTGGCTTGTGGGAAGGGGGCGAGTGGTGCGGGGCATTCTGGCTCCTGTCCCAACACCCCGTGATGCATCGCTTCGCATGGCAGCAATCCACGTGCTTCCGTCCATATTTGGCGCCATCTTTCAACTTTTTTGTATTGCGCGCTCTGTCTTCCCTTTCGGTCTGCGGGAATGGAGCCCGAAGTGCTGAGGAATATGCTGATGGGTCTCGCCAGCATGTCACGTTTGGCAGTCAAGTTACTCCTTAAGATTCAAACTCAGAGTGAGGAGTCCGAAGATATCGTCTCGCGTAACGCATATGACACGAGATTGCTTGTGGCATTCACGGACATGCTCACCACCATGGAATGCCGCTTTTGGGGGAAACAAGCACTGAATGGTGGGATCACATCATCATGCAAGTCTGGGATGACGAGTAGTGGCTGCAGAACTTTCGGGATGAGAAAAGCCACTTCCATGGGACTGTGTGATATGCTTGTCCCCACCCTGCGGCGCAAGGACATGACATTGAGAGCTGCCCTGTCTGTGGAGAAGTGGGTGGCTATTGCAGTCTGGAAGCTGGCAACACCAGACAGCTACCAATCAGTTGCTAACCAGTTTGGAGTGGGAAAGTCGACTGTTGGAATCGTGTTGATGCAAGTTTGCAGGGCCATTAATCGCATCCTGCTCAGAAGACCCGTGACGCCGGGTAACGTGCATGACATTGTGGCTGGCTTTGCACAAATGGGTTTCCCTAACTGTGAAGGGGCGATAGATGGCATGCATATTCCAATTCTGGCACCAGCCCACCTAGCCTCTGAATACGTTTACCAAAAGCGGTATTTCTCCATGGTTCTCCAGGCGCTTGTGGATCACCGTGGGCGTTTCATTGACATTAATGTAGGCTGCCCGGAAAGGTGCGTGATGCATGCATCTTTCGGAACACTGTCCTGTTCAGGAAGCTGCAAGACGGGACATTTTTTCCCAGATCACCGTAGGAGAAGTCGAAATGCCCATTGTGATCCTTGGAGACCCTGCTTACCCTTTAATGCCATGGCTCATGAAACCCTGCACAGGGAGCCTTGACAGCAGCAAGGCACAGTTCAACAACAGGCTGAGCTGGTGCAGAATGACTGTGGAGTGTGTTTTTGGCCATTTAAAGGGTTGCTGGCGCGCACTGTATGGGAAGCTGGACTTGGCTGATGACAGCATCCCTGCGGTTATCCGCATGCTGTACTCTCCATAACATTTATGAAGGGAAGGGTGAAAGATTCACTCAGGCATGGAACTCAGAGGTTCAACACCTGGAGGCTGAATTTGAACAGCCAGAGAGCAGGGCTATTAGATTGGCCCAGCACGGGGCTGCAAGGATTAGGGATGCCTTGAGGGAGCAATTTGAGACTGAAAGCCACCAGTAATGTTTGGTGCCCTGCACGGGAGTGAAGTGCAGTGGTTCCAATGTTAGTATGAATCTGTGTTTGCTATGCTGACTTGCAGTGTCTGTTGCTTTCCTGGGCTAAGGTATCTTTTACTTAATGCAATAATAAAGAATGTTTTCAGAGCCAAAAAAGCCATTTATTTAAAAGAACATTTATTGAAAAGAAACACACTGTTGAG